AGACAGAGCCCCACCACCCACAGCTAGCACTTGGGCTCAGGTTCAGGGAGAGTCCTGACTTACCCAAGGGTGAGGGTGGGCACTGAGTCCCAGACAGAACCCCACCACCCACAGCTAGCACTTGGGCTCAGGTTCAGGGAGAGTCCTGACTTGCCCAAAGGTGGGGGTGGATGCTGAGGTCCAGACAGAACCCTACCACCCACAGCTAGCACTTGGGCTCAGGTTCAGGGAGAGTCCTGACTTACCCAAAGGTGGGGGTGGATGCTGAGGTCCAGACAGAACCCCACCATCCCCAGCTAGTACTGAGCCCCTGAGAACAGGAGGGTTGGTTCTGCTGCCTCTCTTTGTGTGGACCAAAACCTCCCAGGAGGTGGAGGAGTTGGCAAGTGTTGCTGATAATCCTGATGGTGCAGACATGGATAGACACGGGAAATGACTTATCAAAGGAGAGAGACAGATGAGCTGGGAATTGTGCCAGGACTAGACTGAAGTCTTGCCCCAGAGCTTGAGAGGGGGTCACTGGATCTTTTCATGGGTCATTTGCATGACATGTATATGTGCAGGCTCGGTTTCCCCGACACTTAGCAGGAAGGCTTCCAAACCCGCAGGCCAATAGCTGGTCCTTCATGTGTCAATCCTTGGGCTTTTCCTCAGCTAGCCTAGTTCCTATTCACCTACCTCAACAGGGAGGGCCCCACAGACACACCAGATTTTAGACCAGGAAAATTCTTCAGGCCTTCCCTTATCTTCCTCCCCAGGCTGAGACTTGAGGGTGTGTCCCCAACCCTGCCCAGCAGACACAAGCATCCTTACCATGGGAGCTGGCACCTGTCCCAACAGCAGGGGGCTGGCAAAACCAAGCAGTTTCTGCTGTCTCAGGGACTTTTGGTGTAGGGCCCTGCCCCCCCCCCCCCCCCATTTTGGGTAGTTGTTGCCTTGCTTGTTGACCTTGACCAGATGTCCTCCCTTTGTTTATTCCCTGCCGGTTTCTACACTCCTGAATGTTTAAGGGAAGTTCCTTGTTTGTGTACTCTGCATATTGGGCGTAAACAGCTTAGATGCAAGAATGTAGGACATGGGTAGCGAACTTCTGTCCTCTGGGATTCTCCCATTGTGCTGTAAGCCTGTATTTAAGGTTTCCTCCCTCCTTCAATAAACGGCATTCGGCATTCTGCTGAGGCGAGTGACCCGCTGTCTCTTGTCTCTGGTTTTTGATCCACAGCATGGTGAACGGGTGGTGGTAGCACGGGCGTTACCGCTACAAATGGAGGTCCCACTGAGATCCGAGAAAGAAGGGACGTCGCTGGTGGACACCCGAAGGTAAGGCTGGCCAGCATTTTAAAGAAAAGAAAAGAGAAGAAAAGGGTGAATTATTATGTATCGGTGCAGCTAGCTGGAAGTCGCTCCTTGAGGAAGTTAATTGGACTGCTGAAGCGTTTGGGCACCACAGTCAAGAAGAGCAAGACAGCTAAAGATTTTAAATAAAGAAGAAAATCTTCCCAATAGAGAAGAGGGAAGGAAAGGAGATTTCCCATTAGAAAAAGGAGAAAATTTTAATCAAGAAAAAAGGATTTTCCTGGTAAAAACGGGAAAAATTTTGAAACTAGGCCTAAAGATTTGGGGGCTCTGTAGAGGAAGGATAAAGGAAAGAAAAAAGCCTCTTCCCAGTGGTAATGGAGAAAGAAAGGGCTCTTTCCGATATAAAAGTTTCAGGATAGCTAAAACTCTGAGCTTTTTCTGCCTGCCAGCACAGCGAGGCAGCATCTGAATTACAAAGAGTCGGCAGGTGGGCCTCACTGCTGCTGGCTGAACAAGCAAGCAAGCCCAGAGGTTAGAGTTTTTGTTATCTGTTTGCTTAATTTTGGTTTAAATGTTTTCTTATTTTCCCCTCAGAGTGGGAATAATTCAATATTTAGGATCCCTTTGTGGGAAATGTTTTTCTGTTTTCCCTTATGGTGGGAATAACTCATTATTAGTAGTCCCTTCATGGGAGTAAGAGGAAGTTTAAATGGGGAGTGCGCGTGTGCGGGCCTACATGGTGGACAAAGGCACAAGCTGCTGCACGGGAGATGGCCCGGAGGAGCAGCAGCGGGCAGGCAGGTACGCACCAGTGGGAGGCGCAGCCGTGAGGTCAGCAAGGTAAATGGACTCACAGGCGGACAAGCGAACAGAGGCCCAAAGAGGGACGGGTGCTAAAAGTTTAAACGGGCCCAACTTCTGGTAAAAAATGGTTTCGGTCAGGACATGGAATGCTAAGTCAATGCTGTTTGAATTTCCAGGGATATTAATCATTCATTGTGTAAAGGATGTTCTATCCTTTTGATTGTCTTAATAAATCTTTGGATGAATGTTTGGTCTTCATGGTAGATAAACTAAAGGAACAGGATTCATAATTTTAAACTATATATTAGGTATGCTCTTGTCTGTTGATCATTACTGAAAATTTGGCTCTGCTCTTTAAGTTGCTTTCTAGAAATTCTGGTTTAATTCTATAAAGTTACCTCTTCAAATCCTATAGAGATTGTATTTAATGCTTTTATAATTGGCATATGTAAAAAGGACCATGGAAATAAAAGCTGGTGTTAGAATTACTCAATTATTATTGCTTTCATATTTTAAATGCAAAATGGCGCCTATATGTAGAACTGGAAGCTTTGGAAGTACAAAAAATAGTTTTGACAAATAGTTATCGATGATACACAGCCTAAATTAAAAATAAAATTATGGCCAGGCAGTGGTGGTGCACGCCTTTAATCACAGCACTCGGGAGGCAGAGGCAGGCGGATCTCTGTGAGTTCGAGGCCAGCCTGGTCTACAAAGTGAGTTCCAGGAAAGGTGCAAAACTACGCAGAGAAACCCTGTCTCGAAAAACAAAAAAAAAAAAAAAAATTATATGGGATTGAGATTAAAATATTATTAGATTCTGGTGCTCGTTAAGGAAGGGGATGGCTCAACTGCCTTTAGCCTACTGGCTATGGGGGGGTTAAGACTTCTGTTGGTCTTTTCTGTGTCAAACACAAAGATTGCAAGCCCATCGCCACTTTGATATCTTTAGCAACAGTTAACTCTGCAGCTCACACACAGTTGAGCCTGTATGATAATGAGTATTCAGAGACGGGTAATGCCTGGGGGGCACTCACCAACCTAAGGCAGAGTGCCTGTGTGGCCTGGGCAGGTGTCTCCATGACAGGTAAGGTGACCTGCTGACATCCCCATGCAACCTAAGTCAGAAGCTCATTTTTTAGTTAAAAGGGGGACCTGTAGGGCCCTGGCCCCCCCGTTTTGGGTAGCTGTTGCCTTGCTTGCTGACCTGGACCAGATGTCCTCCCTATGTTGATTCCCTACCAGTTTCCACCCTCCTGAATGCTTAAAGGAAGTTCCTTGTATCCTGCATATTGGGCGTAAACAGCTTAGATGCAAGAATGTAGAACATCTGCAGCAAACTTCTGCCCTCTAGGGTTCTCCCATTGTGCTGTAAGCCTGTGTTTAAGGTTTCCTCCCTCCTTCAATAAACGGCATTCGGCATTCTGCCAAGGCGAATGACCCGCTGTCTCTTGTCTCTGTTTTTTGATCCACAGCCCCTCAATCGGACATGGTGAACAGGTGGTGGTAGGGTGGGCATTACCGCTACATTTTGGGTCTGGGAAGAGGAACCTGTCACTGTCAGTACCAGATCAGAAGGGGCCTGGAATACTCTGTGGTCAGGAAGGACTCAGATCTGTGCCATGATGGGAATGTTTTTATCTGACTGCCAACCAGAAGATCTCAGGTTCAATTCTTGGCTGGCTCACCGACATTTTGACAGGAGTTACTGGGGTCAAAGTCTGGACCTAGCAGCCCTAATAAGCCAGATTCGGCAACCTTTCCTCATTAGTCAATTTTAAAGCATAGTGAAAAGCAGAAGAAGGCAATGTATTCAATGTGGCCACATTGGGAAGAAGAACAAAGAAATCCAGTGATTCCCCCCAAGTCCACCTGGGTCCTGCCATGAGGTTTAGGTTATAGCAGAAGTCGAAAGCTGTGCAGGGCTAAGCAGTCAAGGTCAAGGTGTGGTGCCCCCCCCCATGAACGGCCCCGCCCAGGCGAGGCCCCGCCCAGGAGTGACCCGTCATTTCTTTTTCTTCTTCCTCTCCTTGTTTGTTTGCTTTTTGTTTTTGCTTTTGCTGTTTTGTTTTGTTGTTCGAGACAGGGTTTCTCTGTGTAGCCCTGGCTATTCTGGAATTGGCTCTGTGGACCAGGCTGGCCTCGAACCTAGTGGTCTGTCTGCCTCTGCCCTGAGTGTTGCTAAACTGGTTCATCCTTTCAAATCCAGTCTCTCTTGCAAGGTGGTCTGACAAGCCAGAGCTCTGTGATTACACTTTCCCTTCTCCCAGCGCGAGGCTCCTGGGCCAATCCCAGCTTCTCAGGCTCTTTGCTTCAATTGTTTGAAAGTCAAAGAGTAACCTGTTCCAGCCAGGCTGGCTCCATTTCAACCCAAACCACCGCAGGAACCTTCCTGCTGCTGTGGACCCAACCTCAGGCCATTTTCACTGGCCACATCAGTCTGGATTCCCCTTTTCGGTTTCCTGTGCACCTCAGCCGTGCTAACAGCCACCTCAGCGCTCAGGTGCTGGTCACAGGGAAAGCCCTGGTCACCCACAGCCTCTTCCTCTCTATGGACAGAGCTCTGAGTCCAAAAATAGTAATGAATGAAAAAAAAAAGAAATACCAACGGGTGGTGGTGGTGCACACCTTTAATCCCAGCACTCAGGAGGCAGAGGTAGGCGGATCTTTGTGAGTTTGAGGCCAGCCTGGTCTACAGGATGAGTTCCAGGACAGCCAGGGCTACACAGAGAAACCCTGTCTCAAAACAACAACAATAACGACAAAAAAAAGAAAGAAAAAGGGAAAGAAAAGACATGACTGCCCCTCGGTATGGTGGAGGAGAAAGTTTATTGTAGATAAAAAGGAGAGCATAGCCAGATGGAGACATCTGAGAGAGTCCAGAGTGCACATGACCAGGCTGAGCTGACCCATGTGGGAAGATGGAGTGGGGTACGGATGGGAAGGTTCGGGTGGGGGTGGGGGGTCACGTACAGCAGTCAGGAGGCCAAAGGTACAAAAGGGGTGGGTAAAATTTGGTTTATAAAAGGAAGAGCCTCTGGGGAAGGGCAGTCCAGTCCCTGGGCTGGAGAGTTCAGGGTAGAGGGCAGGTGTGCCAGCCATACCCTGTATCAGGTAGGAACTGAGGGATGCTGAGAGAACCTGGCAGCCAGATCTGCTCTGATGTGTTAAATAGGCACCTCGGCCATTTTCCCCAAGTTTGAGACCTAACAGGTAAGAAGATGCATCCCATGTGTGTTCCCAGACAGGCAAAGGCAAAATGCCTGGGAAGGCTGAACAAGAGTAAATTCAGCACCTTACCCTTTTCAGGATGATCCTGGTGTTAGTACAGGCTAGAGCAGAGGACAGGAAAAACTGAGGAGGAGATCCTTAATGTCTCCCTGGTGCAAACATCCCCTACTTACTGTGGTTCAACTTACAACCTACAATGCTTTCACAGGAATCCCATAGAAGCCATCCACACCTTGGTCGTATCTTGACTTTTCCATGGGCTGGTACGACGTGGCCGGATCCTCATTCTTGATGCTGGAGGGAGACCCCAGCTCAGATCCCAGCCGAGACCATGAGGGTAAACCATCCAGACACTACATGGGATAAAATCTGCAGCACCCTGGGTGGCTGTATTGTCCCCTTTACCTCTTATTGGCATTGTCACAGTTTTCTAGGTGATGAAAGCCAGGTCAAGAGGTCACACAGTAGACCAGAGGTCACAACACTGGGAGGGGTGTTTCTGAAGCCATGCTCTGTTTTCTCCATTTGGGCTGAAATGCTCAGAGCAAGCCAAGAACAAGGCCGAGGCGGACCTGGGGCTGGGCCAAAATGTGAATTCCCAGAACATCAGAGCATCATAGAATACTTGTCTTAGAAGAAGTCAATAATCGTGTATTTCATGCTACATATGCACTCAGGAGGGACAGGAGTAAAAAACGGAAGAGATCTGGTGAAGCACACACCTGTATCCTGGCACTGGAGAGGGAGAGGAAGGAGGATCAGGACTTCAAGGCCAATGCTGGAGGCTGGAGAGATGCCTCAGAGGTTAAGAGCATCGGGTGCTCTTTCTGAGGACACTGGTTCAATTCCGAGCACCCACGTGGCAGCTCACAACTGTCTGTAACTCTAGTTCCAAGGGATCTGATATCCTCACACAGACATACATGCAGGCAGAACACCAATGCACCTAAAAATAAAGAGGAATCAAGGTCAGTGCTGGGTTCATACAAAAATATGGATGGTTAAACAAAATGTGGAATGGACACATAATGGAATATTATTCAATCTTCAAAAATGAAAATTCTGAAGGAAAAAAGAAAAGCACACTGTAGTCTTACTATTACCTAGCCTACCACTCCTGGCAGCATACTTACTAAACTTACTTTCTTCCAAAAAATAAAATTACTAAGGAAATCCTGACACATTACAACATGGATGAAACTTACATTATATACAGTGAAATGAGCCAGTCAAGAAAGAACAGCTGTTGGTCGATTCCAGTTATATGAAGTTCCTAGACTAATCAAATCCAAAGATACAGAAAGAATGAGGGCTGCCAGCAGCAAGAGGAGACAGACATTAGGAGGTCCAATTTAAAGGGGACAGAGTTTCCTGGATGGAGTGAGGGAAGTTGAGCAAGAATTCTTGTGCTGACAAGAGGGTTCCAGCAAGCCTGACGACCTGAGCTTGATCCCCAGGACTGACGTAAAGAAGAGACCTGGCTCCACAGGGTTGTCTCCTGACTTCCACTCACACACATTAGCATGTGCAATTCCTCACTACAACAGACAGATCCTTTAAGGGACAAACTGTCCTTTTGGATTCCAAACAGACCACCACCTGATGCATTTTACCTGTCCTAAATCATCTGTTCACAAATGTAAGCCATCATTAATTAAGTTTTCTACTGTGGAAATTAATAATGAGAAGACATGTGAAAAAAACATTTTAATATTCATTTATCTTTATTTCATGGGTTTGAGTGTTTTGCCTCCGCATACGTATGTTCACTGTGCGAATAGGCCAGAAGAGGGCGCTGGATTCCCCAGAACCAGAATTATGAATGGTTAGGAGTCACATGTCGGTTCTGGGACTGAACTCTGGTCCTCTGTAAGAGCAGCAAGCACTCTTCACCATTGAGCCATCTCTCCAGCCTCAGAAGAGGGAAATGCTGTGGGATGTTCTATATGACAAATGTGTTGCTCTGATTGGTCAATAAATAAATCACTGATTGGCCAGTGGCCAGGCAGGAAGTATAGACAGGACAAGGAGGAGAATAAAGCTGGGAAGTGGAAGGCTGAGTCAGAGAGACACTGCCAGCCGCCACGATGACAAGCAGCATGTGAAGATGCCGGTAAGCCACGAGCCACGTGGCAACGTATAGATTAATGGAAATGGATTAATTTAAGCTGTAAGAACAGTTAGCAAGAAGCCTGCCACGGCCATACAGTTTGTAAGCAATATAAGTCTCTGTGTTTACTTGATCGGGTCTGAGCCGCTGTGGGACTGGCGGGTGAGAGAGATTTGTCCTGACTGTGGGCCAGGCAGGAAAACTCTAGCTACAGGGAAAATTGTTTCTTAAGTAAAAGGTATGATGTTGTATATAAATAAGTAAATAAATAGAAAATTTTAAAAAATAAGTGAAATAAACCCTCACATTAAACCAGTTTGGGGCATTAACTCCTTACTGCCGCATGACCTGAGTCACCCTGACTCAAGGGGAATGAAAGAAAAGCATTTTCACAGCTGCATGAACATGAGTCACACGACAGTACAGCCCTCTCAGCTAAGAAACTTTAAATAAAAAACATAAAGACACATGTTTAGAAGCGCAAGGTGGTAGACACCTGCATCTCAGCAGCCAGAGGCTAAGGCCTGAGGACTGCCATGGCTTTGAAGCCAACGGGGCCCTTGATCTCAACACACACATGCACGCACGCACGCACGCACGCAGAACACGTGCCTCTGAATGGTTCGAGTTCCCATTTGCTCTTTTTTGTTTTATGAATCTGGCATTTTTTTAAAAAAGGTTTTTTTATACGTATGGGTGTTTGGCCTACATGTATGTCTGTGTACCACATGCATGCCTGGTGCCTGCAAAGGCCAGAAGAGGCCATTGGAGTTCCTAGAACTGAAGTTACAGAAAGTTATAAAATACCATGTGGGTGCTGGGAATTGAAACTGGGACCTCTGGAAGAACAGCCTGTACCAACTGCTGAGCCATTTCTCCAGCCTGAAAGTAGAACTTAAAAAAATAAAAAAGATTCCGTGTATGTCCTTATAAGTGCGAAAGTGTCTCCAGAGGCTAGAGATGGGTGTTGGATTCCCTGCAGCTGGAGTCACAGGCATCGGTGTGCCACCCAATAGGAGTACTCCAATGCCAGTCCTCTGATGGAGCAGTGTCTTCGTTACTGTTCCACAGCTATGGTCAAACACCACGACCAAGGGAACTTAGAGAGGGAAGGGTTTGTTTGGGGCTCATGGTTCCAGGTGAGCGTCCATAATGATGGGGATAGCCCGGCGGCAGGGCAGCTGGAGCTGGAAGCTGAGAGCTGAGGACTCACATCTAAAACCACAAACAGGACAGACAGAACACACTCCCCAAGCCCACCTCCAGTGACATACTTCCTCCAACGAGGCCACACCTCCTAAGCCTATCCAAACCCCACGGACACTAGAGTAAACCTTCACATGCCCGAGAATATTCCCACTCAAACACAAGTACTATGTGCTCTTAGCTGGGAGCCATCTCTCGAATTTTTTTTTGAAAAAGCTGAAAAAAAATTTTTTTAGAGATTTATTTATTTATTATGTATACAGTGTTCTGCCTGCACATATGCCTGTGTGCCAGAAGAGGGCACCGGATTTCACTATAAATGTTTGTGAGCCACCATGTGGTTGCTGCGAATTGAACTCAGGACTTCTGGAAGAGCAGCCAGTGCTCTTGATCTCTGAGCCATCTCTCCACCTTGCAAAGCTGAAATTTAATAATATATATTATTATATATTATATAATATATAATATAATATAATATATTAATATATAATATAATAATAATAATAATAATAATAATAATAATAATATACCTAAAGCATACAAGGGATAGGAGAAACAAGACCCCACTCCCAAATCCCAAATCTGTTCCTGACATCAGAAACAGATTTCTTGAATGTCAGTTTCCCAATTTATCCTACCTAGGGTTGTGGGTCACCTAGTTTCTAGAACCGAGCCCAGAAATGGGCATGTAGATGCCAGGGACCTCAAGAGAACCCTTCCAATGGTATCAAGGAGAATGATCGCTCACTCAATATAAGACATATTTTTCAGTGTGTGTGTGTGTGTGTGTGTGTGTGTGTGTGTGTGTGTGTGTGTGTGAATGCAGGTGCACACATGCCATGGTGTGCATAAAAAAGTCAGAAGGTCACATTGGGTGTTGACTCATACCTTCCACCGTGAAGGAGGGGTTTCTTTGTTGTTTTCCCAATGTGTATACCAGGCTAACTGGCCCATGAGCCAGCCATAGGCATTCCTCGCTCCATCTCTCATCTCCCCATGGGATTACAGACACTCAGTATTTGGCTTTTACATGGATCCTGGGGATTTGAACTCAGGTCCTCAAACTTATATAGCAAGGATTCTTATCCATTGAGCCATCTCCCCCTGCCTGAGATACTGTAACACTGACCTTGGCTCTGGCCTGCCTTGGAGAACCACTCCATCTGTCTGGTAGACAGCCATCTATCTAGACCTGACAGTTACAGAAAAAGCTAGAAGCCAGAGCAGGGCCCAGAGGACGTGCCTGTATTCCTAATACTTAGGAGGATCAGAGAAGTTCAAGGTCTCTGGATACATTGTGAGTTCCAGGCCAGCCTGAGCCATGTAAGACCCTACCACAAAAAATACACAAAAAAAGAAGCCACACTCCAAGTGATGGGTGCTGGTGTCTCCCTTAGGCAAAGTGAAACCAGTTGAGGCTAGGACACCTAGACATCAAGGGGACCAGCAGGAAAGACAAGTTACTGGGGACAAAAGCTTTATTTACATACCACTTATCTCCTCCCCCTCCCCCCTGGAGTTCCTACCCCAGGAGGCAGAAGGGCCAGGGCCACGCCTGGACCCTCGCATCTGCCCAGCCCACGACACACAGCACAGCCACTTCCATCTTGTCAGGATCCAGCCTCATCTTGAGGGCTTCCATATTGTCCCTTCTGAGTGGTCAGTCCACAGCGCTTCTAGTTGGGGGAGCGGAGCTGGGCAACCTGAGGCTCTGACCAGATGGGTGGTGGGACCCGTGTTGGCAAGGCCTGGAAGGTGAATAGGGAGGTGTTGGGGAGCTACTAGGGGATAGATGAATGGAAAAATGTTAGGGGGTCACTTGGGGATAGGTGGGGTCCAGTATTAGCCTCAATTCCTCCTGCACCTTGGAGTGAGGGCCTCCTTCCTGAGTAGAGTGGAGCAGGTGGCAAGGAGTGCCGAAGTTGGAGGGACACCTTGTCAGGGCCTGAGCTCCCATCTCGATAGGATCTGTCTCACCCCGACACCTCCCACCCCAGGTTGGGACAGACCCTGGACCCTACCCCACGGGATGAGCTGGTGGCTGACAGATGTTGGCGCTGCGCTCCACAGGAAACAGAGGACCACAGGTCAAGACTCTTGGGGACAGAGCTTTTCTCAGGCTTTGGAGGGAGGATGTCCCAGCCCAGCAGACAGTGCTGTGGAGAGCAAAGGTTAAAGGTACCTGCCATCCCCAACTATGGAAAAGCCCCCTGAGCAGCCAGGGTCCCTTCCCTGGGGCAGCAGGTGTATCTAACCACTGGTTACCCTAGGTCACCCCAATCTCAGTCCCTATTGACCTGGCCACTCCAACCCTCCCCAAGATGGATGAGATGATGTGGATATTAATGGAGCCCTTTCCACAATGGACTTGGCCCCGAACACCTAAGTTGCATGACCTCACTAAACCATCCTCGTGACCCCAATCCTGAGGATGTTCCCTTTCTACCCACTATAGGGGAGCCAAAGGGTCTTTTCCCTCTTCTCTTCCCCAGTTGCAGGTACTCTGTCCTTCACCAGGTATGAGCAGGATACCCTTTGACTTCCATTCTGACTAGGAAATGGGATGCACGATGGAAACATAAAGGTTTGGGTTCAAATCCTTCTCTCCGACCAGCTCTACTCAGCCTCTGTGGCCTGTGTGGGGTGGGGTACGGCAGTGGCTGCAGTGACTCTGGGAAACAGCCCTTCTAAGAGCCACGCACGTGGCACCCAAGAACTCAGCGAATAGGGCCCATGTAGACACCCAACTTAGACACCACGTGGGGGACGGGTGTCACACCAGCCCGGTGAAACCAGAGGCCTGCTAGCAAGGAGCCTTGGAGCAAGGTCTCTTCAAGGCTAGCTCAGGATCCTGCCCACATATGCCTGCCTCCAGCCTCTTTGGGCAGGCAGCTTACCCGAGGCAGAGCCAGAGTGTCAGATGCATCAAAGCTTTTCCGTCTGTGAATTCGATACCGGTGTGGGGGGTCCAGGATGGATAGGGGGATGCTGACCCTGTGTAAGAGGCACAGCATCAAAATCAGCAGGGGCCACATTCTGTACCCTACCCTAGTTGTAACTGCCCACTGGGACCTGCTAGGAATTCCAGTGCTCTTGACACTCACCTGACTTGAGCAGGCTCCATCAGAGTCTCAGGGCCCTGTTGGTCTCGGGGTACCCCACACAGGCGGCAAGGGGTACCTGGGTCCACTGGCACAGGAAACAGGCGCCGGTTGATACGGTAACAGTACACACCTGTGAGGCCCATGAGACAGCACAGTTCCCCTAAGCCAGGGAATTTGTTGCCGGGGGCTCTGGCTGTTCCTAGTCACATTAGCCATACCATCCATTGAGGAGTCACTCTGTGCCACTTTTTTTCCAGCCCCTCTCCTCCCAAAGTCTTGGGTCCACACCTAAGTTCAGGGAGAAATGTCCTCTCTGGGGCATTGAGAGCTACACCCCACTATCTCTGAAAGCTGCTGGAGAGAGATGGTTACAAAGGGCAGGACCTAAGCCAGCCAAAGCCCCGGGCCAGAATGGATCCCACACTGCTCAGACAGCAGACTGCCCTCAGTCAGAGTGACGTGGTGGAAGTGTACACTCACACTCGTGGTCCTCTTCTACACCACTGCTCTCTTGCAGGTCTGGGAACACAGCTCTGGGGGCAGGAGGGGAGTGATAAGCAGGATGAGTGACAGAGTCCCCTACCCACCCTCGACACTCCTCATGAACCCTTGTTTACTCAGGGGAGTTGCAAACACAGTCCTCTTCGTTGGTTTCTCGAAACCTCTGAAGTGTGGAGAAGAAGGCCTCGGGTTCGCTGGTGACCGTAGAGCTACTGTCCAGGGTCCCTGGGTTGAGCAAAGCACCACTAGGTGAGTTAAGGCTAGATGGGCTGGGGCCCCACCTCGCCTCTAGGACTCTTCACCCACTGTGACGACCAGCTCTGAGCACCAGCCTGCCCTGATATAGTCAGTCATCCACGACAACTCCCTCACAGAGCCCTTACAGGGGCCACACACTCGTTTTATTAGAGACAGTATCTATGTAGCCCTGGCTGGCCTGGAACTCCATATATAGATCAGGCTGGCCTTGAACTAACAGAGACTGGACTGCCTCTGCCTCTTGAGTACTGGGATTAAAGGCATACGCCTCCATGTCCTACCTACTTTTTTTTTGGGGGGGGGGGCAAGGTCTCATGTAGCCCAGGCTGGCCTCCAACTCAACACTTCTGCCTCCACCTCCCAGTGCAGAGATTATAGGCACACACCTGGCTCACATTCTTACTAGCTGAGGAAGAGTGGGAAGCTAGACAAGGTTCCCACTCTGAGGAGGCTATATTCTAAAGGGTCCAAAGACTAACTAGTCACCAAAGAACTCTGTGATGTGATACTGAATGGTGACACCTGCCGGGAAGCTGGAGGCCGGGCGGAGCCAGGTGGCTGAGTGCCACAGGGCAGAAGTTCCGAGGGAGGTCTGAGAAGGTGACCGGAGCAGAGACCAGGGAAGTCAGGTGGATAAATCAAAAGGATACCCCAGCTGGTGAAGAAAGCGGGTGCTTGGCATGTGTGAGGAACTCAGGAAGGAAATGCGACCAGAGGACAATAGTGGGCGGGGGTGGAGGAATGGAGTCTGAGAGGATTCAGGGACAGGAGCGTCAAAATCAGGTCAGCCATGTTTTTAGAGGACACATCCTTGAGGCTGAGAGGTGAGGGAAAGGGGGGCAGTTAAAGGGAGATCGTGGATTCTAGAAATGCACTAAGGAAGGTCTAGAGAATGTACTCATGGTCAGGACATGAAACACATAAAAGGGAGGCAGAGTCGAGGCTAGGCCCAAGGTCATAGCCTGACTTCTTAAGTTCACAGAGATAGGAGGAAGAGGGGGCGCACACAGGAGGAGGTGGAAACCAGGATCCCGTTATGGATGTGGGATTAGATATTTTTAAATTACATTTTATTTTTATTTATGTGTGTCTAAAAAAATTTTCAGTGGGGTGTGGTGGCATACACCTTTAATCTTAGCACTTGGGAGGCAGAGACTGAGGGATCTCTGTGAGTTCAAGGACAGCCTGTTCTATATAGGGAGTTCCAGGACAGCCAGAGCTATGTAGAGAGACCCTGTCTCAATACACACACACACACACACACACACACACATTTAAGGTACTGGCTGTGTCAGGCGGTGGTGGTGCACGCCTTTAATCCCAGCACTCAGGAGGCAGAGGCAGGTGGATCTCAGAGTTCTAGGACAGTCTGGTCTACACAGAGAAAGCCTGTCTTGGAAAACAAACAAAACAAAACAAAACAAACCAACAGAAGAGCACTGGTTGCTCTTGCAGAGATTCAGTTCCCACCTCCCACACAGTGGCTCACAACCATCTATAACTCCAATTCCAGGCTCTGACGCCCACTTCGGGCCTCCACAGGTACCAGGCATGCACATGATGCACAGACATACATATACGCAAACACACACAAATTAATAGCTAAAATGAAAAACCAAAAGTGCTGTGGGATGTTCTGTATGACAAATGTGTTGCTAATTAGTCAATAAATAAAACACTGATTGGCCATTGGCTAGGCAGGAAGTGTAGGCGGGACAAGGAGGAGAATAAAACTGGGAAGTGGAAGGCTGAGTCAGAGAGACACTGCCAGCAGCCATGATGAGAAACAGCATGTGAAGATGCCGGTAAGCCACGAGCCACGTGGCAAGGTATAGATTTATAGAAATGGATTAATTTAAGCTGTAAGAACAGTTAGCAAGAAGCCTGCCATGGCCATACAGTTTGTAACCAATATAAGTCTCTGTGTTTACTTGGTTGGGTCTGAGAGGTTGTGGGACTGGCAGGTGAGAGAGATTTGTCCTGACTATGGGCCAGGCAGGAAAACTCTAGCTACACAAAAGCTAAAATGGCACAATTTCTGCTGCACGGCTTTAACACTCAGTACACAGTAATGAGGCTGTCGGGAGGACAGGAGCCCTCGGGTACCAGGAGAAGAGCAGCAGAGTGGAGATGTGCCCACTAGGGTTGGGCAGGGGCCTGACCTCTATAAATGCTCAAATATAGAGTGGCCCTGATTCATTCACTCATTCAGTTTCATGTGTGTCCAACCCCGCCACTCACCTGCAACCCAATCATAGCTCAGGTATGGCCGGAAGTGCCAGTCACTCTCAGGCACTGTAGACTCTTGGGAGAAGGTCACTTTGGGCTGAGGAAGTAGACGAGGAGGGCATGGGCTAGATCAGCAGGCCTGGCCCAGAGGAGGCCCCATTCCAGGAGAACAACGCACTGTGTCTTGACTTAGACTCCAGGGTGGTGCTAACCTCAGCTGGGGAGCTCAGAAACCGGAAGGTAAGTCTGGCACCACTTTGGATGTGGCTTTGAATAAGCCTGGGCTCCAAGCCTCAGTCCCTCCATCTGTACACTAGGCTTTGCCTCCTTCTTCCCAAAGTGCTAAGAACTAATAGCAATAACTGGACCTTTTGGAAGCCTCAGCCCTACAAGGGAGGCTTGTCCAGGAACTTTGTCAGAGGGGGAGACTAAGGCTCAGAAAGCTCTCCCTGATTTTCAGGCACTCCTGAGTTACCTTAGATGGCTTGCTTGGTTGTGACAGGATGGATTTTGGGACCTGTGGCTTGTGAGGTCCCGGACCTTTTGGTCCTACCAAAGGCACTGGCCCCTTCAGGCCTTCAGTGGCTAGCCAGGGTACTGAGGGAGGCCACAGTCCATCCTGGAGCTCTGGGTGCTGGCATGTGGCAGGTGGGAGAGAGTCCGCTCTGCAGCTGTCCTTGCCATACTGGGTCATGTCAAATGTGTCTCCTCGATGACTGTCTAGTGGGTCCTGGGAGCTTGGGGCCACTGAGGCGGTGGAAGAACTCTCTTGGGACAGTGGCATTTCTAAGTTGCCGCTGCTGCTGCTGCTATAGTCCAGGTGTGACTGCAAGAAAGAGGTCAGGTTACCCAAGCAGCAGCCTGGCCAGTGCCCAGCCACTCTGGCTCGCTCTGGACACATAGGTCTTCATTCTGCTGTGGCCTCTGGGTGTCCCAGCCCAGTCTCTTCCTCCCAAGGCCTCAGTTTTGCAACATAAGGCTGACCCTGGAAGCTTGGACATAGTCTCAGGGGGTAGGCAGTCTTTTCCTCGCCACCTGGGCATTACCAAGGGGACCGCCTACCTTTGACACTACTCTGGCCACTGACCGGCACATGGCATCATGCCCAGCCCACAGCTGCTTCATCAGCTCCAGGCTGAGCAGCCGAAGCCGAACGGGGTCTTTAGTCTCTGCCATCTTGGGCAAAGGTCACAGCTTTTCACAGCAATGTCACTGGCTCTGGGCTGCAGGATACTCACAGGAGGTGCTCAGGCTAGGTTCTACCTGAAGTCAAAGGATCAATGACAAAACACAAGGGAGGGGACCTGTCACCCAGGCCTGAATCAAAACCATCACCAGGATTCTCCTTTACTGTGCCGTCTCACCCTGGTTAGTTAACCTCTCTGTGCCTCTTGTCCTGACCTGATTACCTACCATGCTGTCACTAGGGTAACACAGGACAGTGCATGTTCAACTCCTAGTCCGGCACTCGATAAATGTCCATTACTACTAAGCCAGCCAGGATGTCTGGAAAGTCCCCAGCATTCTTAATTCCCATCTGCTTTATGTGCCAATTGTGCTGTTTCTTTCCCCAAAAGACCACACCTCAGAAGGCTGTGCAGGGCTGTGTTTGAATGAATATGGACAACAGGAAATGCTTGCCTGCTGAGAGACTAAGACTCCCATTGGGCCTTCCTTACGTGATTCCTGGGGCCTGTGAGGTGGCTCAGTGGGTAGAGGTGCTTGTGGCCAAGCCTGACGATCTGAGTTCAATTCTCAGGGCCTACATGGTGGAAGGGGAGAGCTGACTCCCACAAATTGCCTTCTCACCTCCATACATGTGTCAAGGCATGTGCTTGCCCATACCCACACACAAATAAAAAATTGTTTTTAAAATCATCATATAGAAAGAGATGAGTACAGAGTGCTAATTCAAAGATTAACAACGTGATACCTGGTGCTGGCGTCGAACCCCAGACCTGCAGCATTAAGCCTGTTCTCTGACACAAAGCTACCCCCCCAACTTTCTTTCTTCTTTTTTTTTCTTTTGCACCTGTACCCCAAGGTCACATAACTACTAAGTGTCAAAATAAGGGTCTGAACTAAAATGTGGGTTCCTGGTTGTTGTGCAGAGGCTACTCCTCCTGACATTCGAGCATCTCCCTCCTGGTGGGAGGAGGGAGTCTCCTCAGAAAGTCGCAACAGTTTTAAGGTTGCTTTAAACAACTTTGGATCGGAGCTGCCTGCAAGCTGTACAGGGGTGAATCCGAACCCACGCTAGGTGGGTTTGTCAGTGACGCAGCGGCCTGCCTTTGGGTCATACAAGTTCTCAAAGTGACCCCAACACACTCATGGGTGGACCAGCTACACCTGTGTGGAATCTCTGCTCTGCTCTGTTGGCTGTCCTCCGGGCAAACAGACCTTTGTTGACATATGACTCCCGACTAAGGGTCTGCACTTAGGAAAGCCCGGCCCTGACAGGGTTGGTAGGTTCCTGGGAAACCTCCCCCTCCTCCTGCCAGCTTTGGTCCTTCAGAGGTCCAGCTCAGAGACACCTTTCTGCAGGGGATGTCTGCAGTGTAGGGAAGCGCTTCCCACTTCCGTTACAACCACAGTTCCAGACTCCTCCACCAGCACCAGAGCTTTAACTCCGGGTTGGGTCAGAATCCCTGCCTGCTCTGTCCCAGCCCTGCCACCCCACACGCCCCTGGGGACTCGGGTCTCCATGCAGTCTGCAGGGGGCGAGCAGAGAAGCAGACCGCAGACTCTCACTCACGAGCACCCACGCAGGGTGCACATCGGGCCTGGGCGCTAGCCCTTTCTCTACCTGGTCTAGCTGGACGTAGGCACGCCTCTCTGGTCCCAAGATCAGGGGCCGCTTTGGATAAAAGGACTTGGTCGCTCTCCACCCGGAAGCCCAGGTCCCCAGCAGCCCGGGGCTCCGCCCCCTCTGGGTGGGGCCTCCGACAGTTGTCCTAATTGGGTAATGCTGGGGCGGGATCTCCACCAGCTGTCCTGATTGGCCAATTGGCTGGGCCGGACACCAGACAAACGTTTTTCGCATCCGGAAGAGGCAGTTTCAATTTGGGGGTGGGGCTAATGGCCCCTCGTTGCTGATTTGCTGATAATGTCAAGTCTACCAACTCGAATTTTACTGAATGGAAAGTACCAGAACTACAGGTTCTGATTGGTCAATGTGGTCCAGCTACGTAAAATCCGGATGATTGTGAAGCCTTGAGTGACTGCGGATGGGCGGGACAAGCGACGAAGGCAATGCATTCCATCTTTCAAGCTTTTTTTTTTTTTAAAGAGAAAATCATATGAAGCCTAGCTTTGCTTCAGACTAAGGGCTCCTCTCGGTTAGTGGGGGAGGGTTGATTTACAGGCCTCCCCTATTATGCCTGCTTTCTTTAACACTTCAAGTCTTTGTGAAGTGCCTACTTTGTGCCAGAGACATTGGAAGGCAAAGATTTAAAAGAGTGGGGACAGAGAGAGAAAAGTCGCTGGCAAAATTACAATATAGACAACAAAAATCTGGTCCTGTAAAATATAAACCGAAATTAGCCGGGCATGGTGGCGCACTCCTTTAATCACAGCTTTCGGGAGGCAGAAGCAGGGGCATCTCTGTGAGTGTAATGCGAGTTCCAGGACAGCCAGGGCTATACAGAGAAACCCTATCTTAAAAAAAAAAAAAAAAAAGATTTAAGCTAAAATGTAATTAGCTCAGACTGGCCTCAAACTGCTATGTTATGGGGATGATCTTAGATTGACTCCTTCCTAATCCTGCAGCCTTTACCTCCCCTAATACTGGGATTATAGGCGTATTCCAGCATGCAGTATGGAAGTGTGTTACCATAGTGTTTTGAAGGGCACTGTGTTTTTTTAAAATATTTCATTATTATTTATTTATGTGTGCATGTGTGTTTATCTGTATATGTGCATGTATCTAAGATTAGGGCCATCCCCTGAATCTGAAGTTACAAGCAGTTGTAAGCTGCCTGATGTGGGTGCTGGGAATTGAACTCGGGTCCACTGCAAGAACAATACATGTTCTTAACCACTGAGCCATCTCTCCAGCCCGGGCACTGTGTTTTTAATACTCCTAGCGGTTAGCTGGTTTCCTTTCTCCCTGTCACAGTCAGAAGGCCAGCCTGCCCCAGGAAGAGGCCGTGCAGGACACTTCCACTCAGCATCCTGGAATTTGGTGTACGGGGCCTGTTCTGCCCCCACTGTCTTCATTCAACAAGCACAACTTACTGATATTGCAAGCGCCTACTCTGTGCCAGGTATGGGGTGGGGCAGGGGAGCAGCAGAAATGAAGTGCCCTGCAAGAGCATTACAATCAATACAATGCCATGGGTGTGCTCATGCACACCTTCAACCCCAGCACCCAGTAGGCAAGGGGCAGGCAAGAGTTCAAGGCCAACAGCATGGTCTACAGAGTGAGCTCCGGGACAGCCAGGACTGTTACACAGAGAAACCCTGTCTCGAAAAACCAAAAAACAAATAAATAAATAACTTAAAAAAAATAGCTCTAGGAAAAAATGTTCTGAGTGCCTCAACTGTCACTGCTGCTGCCACTTATCACTGTGATCGATACTCTGCTGATATCATCCTCCAGCTTCGTTGACCTTTCAACATGGATCTAATACCAGCCACTCTACAAGGTGCTCCTAGGCTATCAGGACTGGTTTGGACTGCTGAGCTACCAGATTCTCAGCCTCTCCAGCATACAGATGGCCACTTTGGACCATCCAGCTCTATTGTGTAAGCCAGGCTAATAAATCCCCTTTTATAACACATGCATACATTGTTGGTTCTGTTCCTCTAGAGAATCCTGTATTGGTGAAATTATTAAGGCCACTCCACGTAGTTAAAAGGAGATTTATTTAATGGCGTAACTTACAAATTAAGGGATAGGTAGGTCGCGGGGTCTGGGGAAGGTGTATTGCAGTCCAGCGGTGTTCTCTGGAGCTCTGCTTGGCCCACCTCCACCGTCCAGGGTCCCGGCACAGAGAGAGCGCTGGCCCATCCAGATCTCGGGACTCCAGGCGCCTCCCTTGGCCCCGCCTTGTACGCCTGATAGTTGCCGAAGTCTCAATGGGGGTTGGAACTTCCAGATCAAAGCTGGAATGGCTACCCACTACAATCCTGCCTAATACAAATGCTCAATATAACACTACCACTGAGGCCTGCTGGACCTTCCATATGGTACCCTTGTTTACCACAGGCACCTCTAGGGCAAGCTCCCATCCTGTGGCTTCTTCCAGAGTTTTCTCTTGCCCTGAGATTCACTCACTAGACAAATATAGACTAAAGCCACAGCCACAGCCACACACACACGTAGCTAGAGTTTTCCTGCCTCGCCCACAGTCAGGACAAATCTCTCTCACCTGCCAGTCCCACAGCCGCTCAGACCCGACCAAGTAAACACAGAGACTTATATTGGTTACAAACTGTATGGCCGTGGCAGGCTTCTTGCTAACTGTTCTTACAGCTTAAATTAATCCATTTCTATAAATCTATACCTTGCCACGTGGCTCGTGGCTTACCAGCACCTTCACATGCTGTTTGTCATCGTGGCGGCTGGCAGTGTCTCTCTGACTCAGCCTTCCACTTCCCAGCTTTATTCTCCTCCTTGTCCTGCCTATACTTCCTGCCTAGCCACTGGCCAATCAGTGATTTATTTATTGATCGATCAGCAACACACTTGACATACAGACCATCCCACAGCGCACACACACACACACACACACACACACACACACACACACACACACAGCTGGGCAGTGGTGGTGCACGCCTTTAATCCTAGCACTTGGGAGGCAGAGGCAGGTGGCTCTCTGTGAGTTCGAGGCCAGCCTGGTCTACAGAGCTAGTTCCAGGACAGCCAGGACTATACAGAGAAACCCTGTCTACAAAAACAACAAGTATATATTTATAATGTCTTGAATTATCTATTGGGTCAAGGCTGTAGCTCAGATGTAGAAAGCATGCTTAGCATTTGCAAAGCCCATGGTTCCACTCCTATCGTACAAAGAAAAAAATCAAAGGGCATACAAAGTGATTCACTGTACCAACTGTTGCTGAGGATGGGAAAAACTGGAACTCATCCACTGCTGGCAGGGACATAAAATGCTGTAGCTACTTCAGAAAAAGTTTGGTAGTTCTTAATAGTATGTAACCCAGAAATTCCAGTCTGTGGTATCTACCAAGAAGGAGAATTTATGTCCATACAAAGACCTGTACATGAATATTCCTATCAGCCTTGTATACTGGTACCACACAAAAAAAGCCAAACCATCTGATTGTGTATCAGCTGCACTCACTAGTGTCACATAAAACAAAGGCCACATATTGTATAATTCCACTTACATGGAATGTTCAGAAAGGGCAAACCTATAGAGACAGATCAGTGGATCCAATGTCCAAGTCGGGTGGGAATGGGGTGGGGGTGTCACCACAGATGGAAATTCAAATTTGGGTTGTGTTTGGTTGCTGCACAATTTTTTAACATACTGAATTTTTTCTTCAAGACAGAATTTCCCTGTGTAGCCCAGGCTGGCCTATAACTCAGAGATCCTTAAAAGCGTGCACCACCATGCCCAGCTGGTTGAATATACTCTTAAAAATGGACTTGTCGGACTGCAGCACGAGCTGATAGTCCTAGCACTAGGGTGGCTGAGGCAGAATTTTAAGGTTGAGGACAGCTAGGGCTACACAGAGAGACCTTGTCTCAAAAATATGGTGGGGCCCAGGAGATGGCTCAGCAGGTAAATCTCTTTAGCTGTGAAACATGAGGACTCTGGGTCCAATCAATAGAAGGCATATAAAAGCCAGATGTGGCACACCTTGGAAACCCTAGCACCCTTATGCTAAGATTGAGGGGAGGTAGGTGGAGACAGAATGGCCTGTAAGCTCCCTGGCCAGTCTGGAGCATGTCTGGAAGCAAACAAGAGACACCCTGCCTCAACAAGATGGGGGGTGGTGGTGCGGTAAGCACAGACTCCAAAGTTGTCCTGTGGCCTCCATGTGCATGAGATGGCACATCAATGCGTGGGCACGCACAAAGTTTCAAAGAGAGGTGTGTGTGCTGGGGACGTAGCTCAGATGGCAGAGTGCTGGTCTAGAGTGCACAGAGCCTTGGGTTTGATCCCCAGCATGCACAAACTGAGCGTGGCAATGCACACCCTTAATCCCAGCACTCAGAAGGCAGAGGCAGGTGGATCTCTGTGAGTTCAACCTCGTGAGCTCCAGGCTAACAAGGCTACATAATAAGGGTAGAGAGAGGGCTCAGTGTTGACAGCCTTTGCTGCATAGTCATGACAACTGGTTTTTTGGATCCCAGAAACTACATAGCACCCCCCCCCATACACACACACACACACACACACACATACACACCAGCTTTAAAAGTAAATTTTAAAAAATGTGTGTACACATTGTGGTGTTTCAAAAGGTGTACAGAATCTGACCCTTTTTGCCACTCCTGTTGCAGGCAGCCCAGGCCAGGGCACCTTCATGGCCCCCCTGGAGTGTTATTGCTAGGGCCTGGCTGGTCTCTTTGGCTCCGCTCCTGTCTGCCTCCAGCGGCATCGCAGGCCCCTACTAAGATGTGGTTAGCTCTTATGAGCCCTCTCTCCCCTCAGGCGCACTTGCCTCAGGAAAACAAAACACCCCATTCTGCCCCGGTCCTATCTACTTTCTCTCTCACACACTACTTTGGCCACATTCCTTCTGTTCTTTGAAGACAATGAGCACACTCCCACCTCAGGGCCTTTGCACATACTCTATCTGCCACTTGAACAGACTACCCAGATCTCCCAGGACTTCACTCCCCAGACTGTATTCAAGTGTTACCTCAGTTAGGTCTCCTCCAACCACAGCATCCTTTTACCCTTGCACACATTCCTCACACACCTATCTTTTGACCTCTT